AGCAGCAAAAGGTATAATAATAATAAAAAACACTGTGAAACAGCAACGCAAAAAAAAACGATCCACGGGGGCAGGTCGACACAACCGCGATCGCCGCAGCCTAAACACGCAGACGGCAGCTTGTTTACATGAACTTTGAACATCATACCTCGCGTGTGGCCTGCGCGCGAGGGCGCCTTGGCCCTCTCTCCGCCTTGCTCTCCCCAGTGGTGTTCTACCCTGCCGGAAAGCGATTGGCGGCGGGCAGGGTAAAACACCACTGGGGAGAGTAAGGCGGGCGGGACTGAAAAAAAAAAAAGCCGCGTTGGCGTGGCCCAAGGGCGGACCATGCGTCGTTCGCTTAGGAAAGCTCAGGGAAACGGTGTGGGGGAAAGCATTCCATGATGAGAGAAACAAAGAAGTACGCCTCTATCCTTCACCTTCTCACAAAGGAAAAGATCCCACGACATGGCTAAAGCAGCGTTGCTGTGGTAGAAAAAGAGGAGGAACTTGACGGCAAGGCTGAATGAGGGAAAAAGGTTGAGGACTGCAGGGATTGAACCTGCGACCCCTGGATTTGGAATCCAATGCTCTACCACTGAGCTAAGCCCCCACGGCTTTCCGTGAGCAGGATTAGGGTTTCAATACATTTTGAAGCAGTAAACATGGTCGTTCGTGACAAACGAAGATGTCTGTGCGGAGGTGTGTTGAGTACGGTGGGCTGCCGCCGTTTCTGCCAGGGGAACGTATTTCAGTGGAGGCCCGAGAGCGGTTCCCACCGCCTTGAAGAGCACGCGACGGCGATCCAGAAGGATGATGCGGGATGCTGCTGCTTTTGTAACTGTAGAAGTTAAACGCCCCGCTCCCCACAGCGCAGTACTACTTCTTTTTGATTTTTATTTGGTTAAACCTGTCCGTAAAAATTTGTGAAAATTAAAGTTACAAACGTTATACCCTGCAGATTCAGACACCCCCCGCTGTTGCGAACCATGGGGAATTTTGCAGCTGCCTGCTCTAAAAAACTTCCACACATCTCGTGCGCCTTTTCTACACAACGATAGAATCTCTTCGGAACAAATTCAAAGGGAATGATGCATCCAGCACCCTTAGGCAGCCCACTCCACACTCTAACTAAGAAATAGAGCTGCCTTGGCACTCAATTTTTTTTGATGACACCTACTCTTTTTTTTTACCGTTACTACTCTAACCAACGGCCGCAGCATGCTGCAGCAAGGTGGTGGGAAAAAAGCCCGCCGCCACCTGAGAAGCCCCAGCGGAGCAATGGGTGGCCACCGGCTCAGGCGCCCACCAAAGCACCCGCAGATGGGTTCACCTGCCGTGCCCCCGCCATCGGCCCAGCGCCGCCCACTGCTTCGTATCGGCTGGCCCGCCGGCGCATGTACACGTTTCTTCTGCCCGGCCGATTGGCCAGAGGAAACCCAGCCGGTCAGCGAAAGCCGTGCGGGAAGGCCTCTTCAGTGAGGCTCGGGGATGTCGCGGATCCCTCAGCATGGCGCCAGACTTCGGCGCCTCACGGGGAGGAAAGCTGAGAGCCAGCAATTAGCCTCTTCGATCTGTTGTTGGTTTGCAGCGAAAGCAGGCTGCATTTGAATGTTGCTGTTTTCATGAGGCCCGGGATAAAACCGGTACATTTCCCGCCCAACAGATATGCCTGCCGAAGTGCAGCGGCATCTTTCGCTCCGAGGATTCAACCAGTGCAGATTTTGCAGCTGCACGAAGTTTGGAATTGGATCCAGGCCTGGCCCTCCAGGTCGTGTAGAGAAACGCTGGCAGGCCCAAGCGGGGTAAGCAGATTCCCACGAGAAGTGGTTGCACAAGAGGCAATTATGGTTTGTGTATTTTTGGAGGCCCATTTCGCCGCAAGCAAGCACGAGCTTTTTTGGACCAAATTCTTTTCAGCGCTTTGGTTTGGCGCGGGCGCCCGTCGCAACAACGCTGATTCCATCCCGAAGGAGTGCGGAGACGCCTCCGCCTCGGGTCGGCATAAAATCGACTCGAGCCGGCCGCAGTCCCATCGCTTCTTTCGGATGAGCCCGGCTGAGAGTCGCGGCCGGTCTCTTTCTGTCCGGCAGGAGGATCTCTTCGGAGAACTCCGCCCCGCCGAGCCAAGACCTAGGCGACAATGCGCCAGCGGCCATGGTCCTTGGAGCGACCTGCAGCTACGCCGCCTGAGGCGGCCCACTGCCTGCGGCCTTGGGGGGTGAAACTTTGGTGAAGTATCGCTTGGCGCGTGAGATTGTTGTCGCAATGCCGAGGCGCTTGCCTAGAGGGGGCTGTCGGCAAGGCTACTGTTTTACTTTGCCTCAGACGCCATGCCGCCGCGCTTTCTTCATTTGGGCGGTGGGCTACCCGTTTTGCGCTGGATGGCGGCTGTATGTGGATCGCGTGCGATGTGCGATTTGGAGGGGCAGCCAGTTGCCCCA